AAACTCGCGAGACTATGTCTGTGAGAATACAAGTCAAGGCTTCGCTTACTGGTTGGGCACACCTGGTTTAGAGTCACTAATTACCATAACAAACATTTATTGGTCTGTTGGAGGAAACTGGGGTACTGTAGAAAACCCACATATGCACAGGGAGAAACTTGCAAACTCCACCCAGAAAGGCACCCGGCTGGGATACAATCCGGCATCCATCTTGCTGAGAGGCGAGAGATCTACCAAGTGCACCACCACGCTGCCACCAATTTAATTTAGTTTATTTATATAGCACCAATTGACAACAAATGTTGTCTCAGGGCACTGTGTAAAAACTTGACATTACATTATAAAATACAAACGTTATCTATCTAAGGAATCAAACAGATTGTGTTGAATCTCCACTCCACTGCAGCCTCCTATCTCGAGTAGCGCACTGGCGACAGTGGAAAAGAAAACCTTCCGTTTAACAGGACCAAACCACCAACAGAAATGGGCTTAGTTTAGTCAGCCACGTACCTTAACTGGCTGGAAATACACTGCCTGGCCACAAAAATGTTGCCACCTGGATTTAACTAAGCAAATAGGTACGAGCCTCCTATTGGATAATTATTGCATGGGCAATTATCTTTCAGCTGGCAACAAGTTATTTAACCCCAACTGGTGCAATGAGTCACTTCTCACTTAAACAACCATGTCGAAAGACACATGGCATGGTCGTGGAAAAGATGTCAGTCTGTTTGAGAAGGGTCAAATAAGTGGCATGCATCAAGCAGAGAAAACATCTAAGGAGATTGCAGAAACTACTAAAATTGGGTTAATAACTGTCCAACACATTATTAAAAACTGGAAGGATAGTGGGGATCCATCGTCTTCGAGGAAGAAATGTGGCCAGAAAAAAAATCCTGAATGATTGTGATTGGCGATCACTTAAACGTTTGGTGAAATCAAATGGAAGAAAAACAACAGTAGCACTCAGGGCTATGTTTAATTGTAAGAGCATTTTCACATGCACAATGCAAAGGGAAATCAAGGGATTGGGACTGAACAGCTGTGTAGCCTTAAGAAAACCATTAATCAGTGAGGCTAACCAGAAAAAAGGCTTCAGTTTGCTAGGGAGCATAAAGATTGAACTCTGGAGCAATGAAGAAGGTCATGGGTCTGGTGAGTCCAGATTTACCTGTCCAGAGTGATGGACGCATCATGGTAAGAAGAGAGGCAGGTGAAATGATGCACCCATCATGCCTAGTGCCTAGTCATCAAGGCAAGATCTTGGTGAAAAATTAATGCAACACTGGATGGAAATAGATCTTGTGACATTGCAAAAACTTATCGAAACAATGCCACAGCGAATTCATGCTGTAATCAAAGCTAAAGGCGGTCCAATGAAATATTAGTGTATGACCCCTTTTTTTTTGGCTAGGCAGTGTAGTAGAGAGGACAGGAAAGCAATAACAGAATGGCTGGTCCAGGTGTACTTTCTATGGAAGAACAGCAAATAAAAACATGTTAATGAAATAAATATCAGTAAATGAAAGGAAGATCAACAGATCTTAATAAATACTAACATGCAATAAACTGTTGACATATTTTATTTTATTTAAACCTTTGTTTTAGTAGGAAAAAAATCCATTGAGATTATTAACCCCCTTTATAAGATCTTGTGTTATAATCTGTGTGACTGCTGGGCCACGTGATTAAACAGCAACAAACAGATTTATTACCCAGGGAATACTGATGATGACACACAGCATCTCTGTATTTAGTTTAAGAAATAGTTAACCAGAAAGAGGACCGCAAATGTCAGTTAATTCATTATGTTTTGTAAATGACCCGAGAGAGGCGTCTAACACATATTTAAAGCATTGTGCTTTACGTCAACACGGCTGAGTTCTGCTCCATGCCTCTTTGTTCTGCACTTCCTGCTTCATTTCTGAAGGCTTTGTCTGTGTTGGACATGATTGACTCTATCTGTGATTTATGAACGGCCAGAGGGAGCATAAAGACAGACTGATCTGTGCCCCATTTCACAGACCTGTTTCCTGAGATGACTTCTGTTGTGACTTGGCACCATAGAAATAAACTGAACTAACTGTTTTATGAAAGCGACAACAGTAAGGAGAATCCTTAGGACGGGATTTCCTGCTAATGTTCACCTGTGTGTCTGCAGGTCTGGATCCTTCTCCTTCCACATCAGCACCAGAAAGAGAAAGAGCCCCTCCCACTAAAAGACCTGTGGCTCCCCGCCCTTCGTGCTCCTCAACTTCCTCTAGGCGGTTGAAGCAACATATGGAGGAAGAACAGGATCCAACCTCTGCTGCTGCCACACTGCGCCTCCTCAGAGAGAAGGTCCAGCTTCCTCCAGAATCTTGGTGACAGCTCCTATCTTATTCTATATTTTCCATCAGCATGACATTTAAGGAGCCAAACACTTTCCAGCAATGCACACACTGTTTGAAGAAGTCTTAGCCTCCTCTGTTTGTGTCTCCTGTAGCAGCAGCAGCTCCTCTGGTCCATCTTCATCTCGTTCCAGTTCAGAGCAGAAGCCTGTTGAAGCTCCAGTGGTTTCATTTGGTTTAGACCTGTACTACTGGGGCCAGGAGCAGCCCAACGCTGGCAAGATCTTCAAGTATTACACACACATTCACACAGACAAACACACAGCTGTACTCGCATGCAATGTCCTGCTAGAAGCAGATGATCATGCTACATATATTTTCCTGAGAACAGGTTCACAGTGCTCTGTCCCACAGCCTGGCTCTTGTGCTTTATTTTGGATGCTAAACCACATTAAGGTGTCACTAGGACGGAGCTGGTGACGTTGCACGTTCGTGGTGAGACGTATTGTGCCATTTCCTGTTTGTCTGTCGGTAGCTCGAGTGAATTGTTTGCTCGAGTCGTCTCTGTTTTCTGGATTTATCTGTCTTTTGCACAGTTTTTCATTCTAGTTCACAAACACACTTAGTACAGTTGCTTTTCTACTGTTGGATAGTGCTTAAAACACCTCTTATCTTTCAACACTTCTCAGTTTTTATGGGTGTATTGGGATCTGCTAGCTCTTGCTAGCGTTAGCTTAGCATGGCTGCTGCTTCTCTCCCTGCTTCCTCTGTTTTCTCTTGCTCCGTGTGTCAGATGTTTAGTTACTCCTCTGCCTCCTTTAGTGGTAATGATACATGCAACAAATGTAGTCTTATGGTAGCTTTGGAGGAGAGGCTGTCTGAACTGGAAGCTCGGCTCTGCACAGTAGAAAAACCAGTAGCTAGCCAGGTCCCCTTAGACAGCACGGAACCACAGAGGCTAGCTCCCGTTAGCAGCCCTCCAGGGGACCTCGAGCAGCCGGGACCCCAGGCCGGCCGGGTGACGGTCTGGAGAAAGCGTAGTGCTAAATCTAAGCCCCCAGTTCACCACCAACCTGTTCACGTTTCTAATAGATTTTCCTCGCTCAGTGACACACCCGCTGAGAAACAGACCCTGGTTATTGGCATCTCCATAGTCTGAAACGTGGCTTTAGGGACTCCATCGGCCATAGTCAAATGCATTCCAGGGGCCAGAGCGGGCGACAGAATTTTATCTGAAACTGCTGACTAAGGCTAAGGCTAAATACGGTAAGATTGTTATTCGTGTCGGCGGTGTAGGGGAACACCACCTCAGAAACAGTTCACCTCATCCCAAACAAACGTCATTCCTGTGTTTTGTGTTTGAAACTGTTAAAATAAGATTCATCTATTCCCTTGGGAACAAACAGACATTGTTTTACAAATATTTAGCTTCGCTCACAAACTTCTTAGTTGACACTAATGTTAATGTAATAAAATAAAATAAAAATCTGTCACTGTGTTAACCTCACTGCCAGTATGAACTAGTTTCCCATGAAATGGATAGATCATTTTAATGAGAGCTTTTGGTTCAACTGACTTTGGAGTTTTTGAAACATCCGAACTCGCTACTTTGATATCTTTATCGAAAAAGAGTATTTCTCCCAGACTCGTTCCCATGAAGATAACACCAAAAGAACCCTTTGTTTAATGACGTTCCTTTTCAGGAGATGGACAGCGACACCTTTGGTAAAACATTGTATGTTTTAAGTTTAATCCTAAATATGTCATACCTGAATGTTTATTCATGAAAATGTGTGTTTTAAGTAATCTTTCTTTAAGATAATACATTTGTCTTATTTTCTCTTTTAAAAGGAAACTTTTAAGGCAGAGAAAATGGACTCTAGATTTATTTAATAGGCCTTTATGAAAAAACATGGTCAAGAGTTGGGACCACCTCTTCATGGAAGGGATGGACCAATCCTCTATCTTTTTTAACACAGACAGTAAGTTTCACTTCTTTGGGGAGAAAAACACACACTTTGGAGACGCTCCGAAGCCTTCCATACACTGGAGCTTTGAAGAGAAAACTCCAGAGAGACACACTTGACGGAGAACTGGGAGCGAGAAGAAACATCGCTCCTGCACTTGACCTCAGAAAGAAGAGAAGCATCCTTTCTGCAGACGTCTCAGGACGAGAGAAAGATATAGAACCTGACTGAACCAGAACCATCACTCTGCAGAGTGGTAAATCCCAGCTGACTGCCATATGGACCTTTGTCCCTCTAACAATGGCAGGTGAACTTTGAGGAGATTTCAGCCTCTCAGCCACCACAACATCTGAGGCTGGTACTATTTAAGCAGCTGTCGGAAACATGCTCTGACCATCTACATCCTGGTAGGACAGAGACTTTTCAATGTCTTTCTGGTGAACCTATATCACAATAAACTTATCAGACAAATTTAGCTCACCTTAGACACAATTTTAACCACTTCACAAACAGAAACCAGTCATAAGTGTCACAGAACCAGGCGTTTGATTCAGAATGACAAGACACAAGAGTAAAAAAATGAAAACAGTTTTATTTATAATTGCAGCTGCAGCCAAGGAGAGGATCCAGAAGAGGTAGGGTCATGATCCAGAAGGCAAGGCAGGGGTCAAGCATGGGGAGTCAGAGTTATTTAAACAGATCCAAGGGGTAATCCAAAATCCAAAGTCAAAGGGCCAGAAAAAGTTGTCGTACCAGGGTCAGAAGGGCAGAGCAAAAACCAGACGAGCTGCAGGCAGAGAGATAAATCCAAGAGGCAGGCGTGAGGTCGTAGTCCAAAACACAAGGCTTGAGGTTCAGGCATGAAACTATGAATGGCGTGAGAATCAGGGACCATGAGAGGTGTAATAATCTCACACCGAGTGAGTGTGGGCATGGAGTTTAAGTAGTGGAGAGGACAGGTGAGAGGCATGAAGGTTGATTGCTGTGAATCAGCTGAGAGGGCGTGGTGACAGAGAAGTGACATGAGCAGACTTGAAGTGCAGATTGACAGGAGCTGATGTGAACAATGACAGGAGCTGAGGGATAAACAAAACATGAAGGAGAGGGGCAGAAACATGGCATGTCATGAAGGGGCAGGGAAGTGAGCAGTGGGGGCAGCGGGGGCTGCTGATCATGACACTAAGTCTGCCTTTTAAGTTTCCTCATCAATTAGACCTTTGATTCAAAGCAATTTGATATTCAGTTAACTTTTGTCATGCATAATTTTTGTCATATATAATCAGCATCTCATTATTTTTCCTGTCCAAGAGAGAGGTGGTACCCACACAACGCGATTATTTGCATAATACATGCATACCTTATGAGCTTAACTCATAACTGATAATCAACAATATATCCAGCCCCATATCGCTATGTAAATGGTGCCTGCCGTTTGAGGCTCGTTAAAGAGCGTTCTTTGAAATAATGCACACAGAAAAATAACTTTCCACGCTGGTTTGCTGAATTTTGAGCATAAAACTGTTAAAGCTGCATTTTTCATCTGTGCTCCGTCTGCTCCGCATGTCTGCGTCTCTGTTTGAAAAGGTGGGAGCCACCCATCCCACACAGCGTTCTGCATCTCTCCATTTTAAACTTGAATAAATGATTAACTGAAACATTAATTGTTGTACTTTTCTGCACTAATGAGAGAATTATAGATGTATAATTCAGCTCAAAAAAGTGTCAGAGTTGCTCTGAATTGAACAGGTTGTTTAGCTGAAACTGAAATAAATATTTTGCATGCATTTTAAAACCAAATGAGTACAGCCAAATGTAACTCTATGATTTAAGGATTTGATCAATCCTGTGTTAAAAATTTTAATCCAAATATTTTAGGCTTTAAGCTGCAAGACGGTAAAATCAAAAGTATGGCTGTGGACTTTCTGTTAGCATTAGCGTAGCTAACTAATTGCTAATGGCCTATTTAATGACACTTTAAACAGTAAAAAGTCCTAATCTGATTCACTATGGCAAACCGACAGTCGCGTTTTTATAGTGAAAATTTAATGTCGAAAAATACGTTTTTAAACCATCCAAAATTGCGTTTTTGGATCGATAATAGCTAAGCTGAGAAGCTAAGCTAACAGGCCGACCCCCGCTAAAAGCGACGCTTCGTCCGTCCAAATCTGTGCAAATGCCATCATGCTGAAAAGCTGATCGCTTTTAAAGTTCTGTTTTCTCCGCAAAAAGAAGCTGAGAATTTGTTTACTGATTTTATTAAATGCTTTGGTAGAAAAATGTGAATAGTTCCAAACCGAACGTCCACCATTTTGAACAGAGCTTGTAACGGGAAAGAAAGACGTCAAAGCTCCTCCTCTTCCCTTACACGCTCTTTATCCAATCAGTGGTTTACTAACTTAATTAAACACTTTAAACAGGTCAAATTAAGTTTAAGCATTTCTGGATAACACATTTTAAACAAATCAACCAACATTTCTTTTTAAATTTGACAATAATTTCAGTTTTTATAAGTTAAACTAAGCTGAAAAACTTGGACTTACAAAAAAACAAACTTAGTGGACTTACAAAATAAAAAAATAAAAATTCTTGTTCAAAGAAACTTTCAACTCCATGTTAAATTGAAACACTCAGTTTAAACTAATCATTCTAAATGATTTTATCATACATTGGAAATGTCTGAAGTTTTAAGAGCTGGTTAAACTACTGTAAATATTTGTTGATATTAAAATATTGTTTATTAATTAACTTTAATTTTACAAGTTGAAGCAACCAAGCTTCTTTTAACAATTAAAAGCTTCATTACAACAACTTTCCATCAATAAAGGTTAACTAAACCAACACCTAGAGTTAACCCCTCAGAAGTAAACACATTTTAAAGTTAAGACCTAACTTTAATTTTGTTTTGCCTAAATGTGTAAATAAAGTCACAAAATGGCTTTCAGCTCTAAAGAAAATGACACTATCTCCTCTTTTTCTGATTCACTTGAGCCAGACAATGAATAAAATTATTTCAATTAGAGAGAAATTTCAAACCATCCTTCCTTCTACTATCTCTAGTCCCCTGTCAAATGAGGCAACTTTAAAAATTTCACTAGATCCTGATTTATGTTTGGACAGTTTTTTTCCTGTTGAGCTCTCTGAATTGTCAAAAATAATAACCTCATCCAAACCATCCACATGCCTGCTAGATCCCATCCCAACCAGACTGTTTAAAGAGGTATTCCCCCTAATTAATGTCCACATTTTGGATCTACTTAATTTGTCTTTAATGGATGGTTATGTACCACAGAGCTTTAAGGTTGCTGTAATTAAACCTTTACTTAAGAAGTCTGACCTTGATTCAGAATTTCTGGCCAACTATAGACCTATATCTAATCTAACTTTCATCTCAAAAATTCTAGAGAAAATAGTTGCAGGTCAGTTGCGTGAAAAGCTATAAAGAATTAATCTGTTTGAAGAGTTTCAGTCAGGGTTTAGAGCTCATCGTAGCACTGAATCTGCACTGGTGAAAGTCACTAATGATATTCTCATGGCCTCAGACAATGGACTTGTGTCTATACTGGTCCTGTTAGACCTCAGTGCTGCATTTGGTACAGTTGATCACACTATTTTACTACAGAGGCTTGAATATGATGTTGGGATTACAGGAACAGCTCTAAAATGGTTTAAATCATATCTATCTGATAGATTCCAGTTTGTAAATGTAAATAATAAATCTTCTTCATACACCAAAGTTAGTCATGGAGTTCCTCAGGGCTCAGTGTTTGGGCCAATACTCTTTACTTTATATATGCTTCCATTAGGTAAAGTTATTAAACAGCATGGGATAAATTTTCATTGTTATGCTGATGACACACAATTATATTTGTCCATTAAACCCAATGAATCCAGTCAGTTACTTAGACTACAAGCATGTCTTAAAGACATAAAAACCTGGATGACCCTTAATTTTCTCCTGTTGAACACAGACAAGAATGAGGTTTTGATTTTTGGACCTGAGCACCTTAGGACTGGATTTTTCAGTCTTTCTCCCTCCTTAGATGGCATTAATCTGTCCTTCAGCTCTAATGTTAAAAATCTTGGTGTTATTTTTGATCAGGACATGTCTTTTATCCCCTACATTAAAAACGTTACTAGAACTGCTTTCTTCCACCTGCGTAACATCACTAAAATTAGAAACATCTGATCTTAAAATGATGCAGAAAAACTGGTCCATGCAGTTGTCACGTCTAGACTGGACTATTGCAATGGTTTATTATCTGGATGTCCAAATACTTCTTTAAAACGTCTTCAGTTGATCCAAAATGCTGCTGCTAGAGTCTAAACTGGAGTTAGTAGGAGAGATCATATCTCCAGTTAAAGTTTCTCTCCAATGGCTCCCTGTCGAGTCCAGAATTTAATTTAAAATCTTACTTCTAACCTACAAAGCTCTCAACAACCTAGCTCCATCTTGTATTACAGATCTTATTGTTCCATGTTTTCCTAACAGAGCGCTTCACTCTCAGACTGCAGGTTTACTTCTGGTTCCTAGAATTTACAAAAACAGAATGGGAGGCAGATCTTTCAGTTCTCAGGCTCCTCTCTTGTGGAACCAACTTCCAATCTCTGTCCGTGAGGCTGACACATTATCCAGTTTTAAAACTAGGCTTAAGACTCTCCTTTTTGCTAAATCCTACAGTTTTGGGGTCAGCTTGGGTTTCCTGAGCTGTCCCTTAGTTATGCTGCTATAGGCTTGCCAGGGGTGGGCAAACTTTCGGACTTGCGGGCCACACTGAGTTCAAAAATTGGAGCAAAGGGCAGAGCCAGGAACAGATGGATGGAGTGTTTGTGTGATGTTGCATCCCAGCGCAATAACGGCCGCCTGGATGCTATTATTGATGGGCAATTCCACCTTCTGCACCACTCAAGCAGCCACTAAGTCAGGATTATATGATAGAACAGTGATTTTATTTACAATAGTGAAATGATTGACTTTGTGGAGTCTTACCAACTTCAGTCCAAAACAACAAACAAAACAAAACTGTATTTTCTCTTACCTGAAGAAAAATAAAATTCCCCAAACCACAAGTCTCTTATCTCACTATGCCAATGGAATACAGGAGAAAAGTCAAAATAAAGTGGCAGCTCACCTCTACAAACTCCTCACAAAACTTTTTACAACTACAGGATCTAAAGTTGATGACAGGTCAGCTGTGGCAAGATGGGAATGGAAGCAGGCATCATCCTCCTGCAGTTCCTCTATGCAGCATCACAGCAGAGTATCAGAGTACCTGGACAATAATTCACACATGTTTTTGTCTTTCACTTTTTTTTTTGTTTTGATAATTCATACACAATTAACAGTTTCACACACACACGCACACACAAAGAATGACTTACAGCGATTCCTGATGGATGAAAAATAACATCCTGGTCGAAGTTTTCCTCTTTCACTTTATCCTGGATTCTTGTCAGCAGCCCAACATGTTTCCCACTTAAATTTGGCGATCTGTCCATTGTGACACTGAAGTTTTCTCCACAGAAGCTTCATTCTCTGATGACAGCAGACGGTTATAAAAATCCTCTCTCCATGTTTTTCCTTTCAGAGACTCCAGGGTCAAAAACACCTCCATTCAGCTCTCTCTTGTAAATGAGTCCTCGAGGCTCAATGGGATTTACCTGTCTAAATAAAGGTTGATTGATTATCTCAAAACTGTTGTTAATCCCGCAGATAAAAAAAATAGGAGACGAGTCGTGTCCTTTATTACTTTCATCCAGTAAACCGTAACTTAAAGGACTCTCTCTGCCTTTTAGTTTATTTTGCTGGCTAAAACTTCATCAATCATTTCCACAAGGCGAGTCACAGTCCTGCGTGATAAACTGATTTTTTCTAACTTGTCTTGGCTCTCCGGACACAGTAGACCTGCTTTGTTTTTACCATGTGTCTTTTAAAAAACTGCCATTGGAGAAAGGCGTGCTAGCATAGTTAGCAGTTAGCAAAGTGTACTCTTTGAAAACCGCAACAGTTTCTTGGCATAAAAATTGCCTTTGATTGGACCTCACTGAAATAATATGTTGTTGTCCACGCCATATTAAACACTCGGCACTCACTGTACACTTTTTTTTGATAAACACGTTTTTACAGACAAGTTCGTAGGGCAAAGTACAACTAAAAGCATAGAAGAAGAAATTACTTCTTCTCCACTGCAGACAGACAGCCACTGCCTCTAAAACACGGCAGTGTCTGTAGTGCACCTCTACTGGGGAAATGCTGAAACTACAGGTAAAACTAGACCAGTTTTTTAAATATAATTTGAACCTTTGGTGATTTTAACTTCTTTTTGGGGGTGCTTAAGCATCCTTAAATTTTACCTCAGCACCCCTGAAAAATAAAGTATTTAAAAAAAATAATTAAAAAAAAAAAAAAAATATATATATATATATATATATTTAATTTAATTTAATTTTTTATTGTCCAAATTTTGGACAATTTCGGCGGGCCAATTAAAAAGCCCAACGGGCCAGGGTTTGCACATGCCTGGCTTAGACTGCTGGAGGACAAATTGACAACAATTTTCACTCTGCTACTGTCTTTACTTACTCTGCTCAACCTGTTTTGTATTTATAATTATTTTTTCTATCCTTAACATGTGGGTTTTTTTGTCTTTCAGGTACACCTGGACCTGCACCTGGACCTACCATTCTGTGTTTGTTTGTCTCTCCTTCCTGTTCCTCTCAAACCAGCCGGTCAAAGCAGATGGCCGCTTGTCCTGAGTCTGGTTCTGCTGGAGGTTTCTTCCTGTTAAAAGGGAGTTTTTCCTTTCCACTGTTGCCACTGTGCTTGCTCAGGATGGGAGACCGCAACGAAGCCAAGATTCATCTTATCTGCTGGATTCCTTAGATAGAGAACTTTACTAATTGGCTTTTATGTGAATGTTTCTGTAAAGTGCCCTGAGACAACTTTGTTGTGATTTGGCGCTATATAAATAAACTGAATTGAATTGTATTAAAGTTCCAGATGTGTATTTATACCTTCTGTCATTTGCAGGTCAGCCTCTCAGCATCAGTTTTGGGTTCCTGCAGAGGTAGAGGAGGAGGTGGAGAACGACGATCTGTTGGCAGCGAGCAGGAGCAGATACATCTCCTTCCCTGGGCGCTTTGTCCCTGTCAGCCATTTCTGCAGAGCACCACTTGGAAACGGCAAGCTGTGTCAGCGACAGGACAGAGTGAAGGTAGCAAACCACGGAGCTCAGCTCAGACCATCGAAAAGTCTGCTTCTGTTTCCACAAAACGCTGTGAGCTGCCTCTGTTCCTCAGTGTCCTTTCCACGGCCGTATCATCCCCCGAAACCACGAGGGTCAACCAATCAGAGAGGAGGACAAGCAGAGGGAGGAGCAGGCGGAGAGGAAGAGGAGGGAACAGCAGCCTGGTAAGAGGGGAAATGAAGTCAAACAAATACCATACCATACCAATTTATTTATAAAGCACTTTAAACAGTGACAAAGCACACCAAAGTGCTGTACAGGGACAAACAGAACAAGCACACAGCAACAGATTACATAACAGGACACCAAAAAGTAGAAACCGACAAAAACAATAATGGATAACAACAACAACCGCAACATGACTAACACAGTGTGATGCACACAGACTCAGCACAGATCACACAGTGCAGAAAGCCAGGGAATAAAAGTGTGTTTTTAAGCGAGATTTAAAAACTGTGAGGGAGGGGGCCTGTCTAACGAGCAGAGGTAACTCATTCCAAAGTCTTGGTCCTGCTACAGAGAAGGCCCTGTCACCTCTGCGCTTGAGACGGGTTCCTGGGACTGTTAGGAGCAACTGGTCTGCTGATCTGAGAGAACGTGGTGGGACATACGGCTGGAGCAGATCAGTAAGATAGGAGGGGGCAGAGCTGTTTTGTGATTTATAGACATACAAGAGTATTTTGAATTTGATTCGAAGGTGAACCGGAAGCCAGTGTAGGGAGGCCAAAACAGGTGTAATGTGCTCCCTTTTGCTTGTGCTGGTCAAAAACCGGGCTGCTGCATTTTGGACCAGTTGGAGTCTAGCTATGGAGGTCTGACTGATACCAAAAAGGAGTGAGTTGCAATAGTCGAGCCTGGATGTAATGAATGCATGAATTGCTGTCTCCAGGTTATTTTTGGACAATATGGGCTTCAGCTTAGACAGTCGCCTCAGCTGGAAAAAGCAGGATTTAACAATCATATTTACATGATTGTTGAGTTTCAAAGAAGGGTCAAGTATCACTCCTAGATTAGTGACTCTTTGTTTCACTAACGGTGACAGAACGGATAGGTCCATGCAGTGGTTGGTGATTGTGTCATTGGGAGGAAAGAGCATAACTTCAGATTTCTTCTCGTTGAAACTCAAGAAATTTAAAGCCATCCAATCTCTGATGTCAGCCAGGCAGTCCAGTAACGGTTGAATAGAGCGAGTACCGTTGAGTCTGAGGGGGAAGTAGATTTGGCAGTCGTCTGTGTAGAAATGAAAAGGTATGTTATGTTTCCTGAAAATAGCACCTAGTGGCAGCAGGTATAAAGAAAATAAAAGAGGACCAAGGATGGACCCTTGCGGTACCCCCCATTTAAGCGCTGCCGAGGCTGAACTAAAATCTTTGATGGAGACACAAAAGAACCTGTCAGCGAGGTAAGATCTAAACCATTCGAGGGCTGACCCAGTGATGCCCACCCACTGCTCTAACCTCGCAATGAGGATCTCGTGGTCAATTGTATCAAAGGCAGATGTGAGGTCCAGTAAGAGAAGGAGCACAGAATCACCAGCGTCTGTGAATAGGAGAATGTCGTTAAAAACCTTGAGTAGAGCAGTTTCAGTGCTGTGGAGAGGTTTAAAGCCAGACTGGAATAGCTCTAAGATGGCATTATCCTCTAGAAAGCATTTCAGCTGGGACTCCACTATTTTTTCCAGCAGTTTAGCGACAAATGGGAGTCTGGAGACAGGCCGGAAGTTGGACATGACTGAGGGGTCAAGGCTAGGTTTTTTCAGGAGAGGTTGGACAGCAGCATGTTTAAAAGTTATTGGCACCACACCTGAGGCTAAGCTGCTGTTCACAATGCCAAGAACAGGAGGGCCCAGAACAGGAAGAAGCTCCTTAAGGAGTCGAGGGGGGACAACGTCAAAAGGGGAGCCAGATGGCTTCATGCCGCACATGACCTGCTCCAGGGAAGACAGAGAGATGGGCTCGAAGTGGTCAAGAACAGCAACACAATGAGATGGGATGGACGGATCATGAGCAGGTGGAGAAATGAGTGCCCGGGTGTTTGCAACTTTTTCAGAAAAGAAATGGAGAAAGTTATCACACAGCTCAGTTGAAGCTTCTAGAGGTGAAGGTTCACTGAGGTGTAGAACTGAGTTCAGGGTGGAAAAAAGGGCTCGGGGGTTGTGGGAGTTTGAGGCAATTATTGCAGAAAAGAACTTTGATTTGGCGGCTTTAACTGCCTTCTGATAATGACGCCAACTCTCCTTTAGGATTTGAAAAGAAACCTGCAGCCTGTCTTTCCTCCACCTGCGTTCTGCTCTCCTACACTGCTGTCCAACGGCTTGAGTGACGTCATTAAGCCATGGTTCTGATAAAAGTTTTGTTGTCCTGGTTTTAACTGGAGCAACACGGTCCAGAATATTTAAGCAAACAGAGTTAAGCTGAGAGGTTAGCTCCTCGGTGGAGAGAGACACTGAGAGCTGATCGATCCTCTCAGAGCTAAAAGCTTCAGTAAAACGTGCAGCAGTGAAACGGAACAAATGTTCCTCAGGTGTTCCTCAGCTCAGACATTCCTCAGACTTCCTTACATCAGATGCTCCTCAGGCACTCCTCAGATGTTCTTCAACTCAGACAATCCTTAGATGTTCCTTAAGAGTTTATTAGTTGAGATATTCCTCAGATGTTCCTTACAGCAGATGATCCTCAGGCACTGGCAGATTGCTGGAAGATGTTCTTCAACTCAGACAATCCTCAGACTTCCTTACATCAGATGTTCCTCTGGCACTCCTCAGATGTTCTTTAACTCGGACAATCCTCAGATGTTCCTTACAACAGATGATCCTCAGTGACCTCAGATTTTCTCCAGATCAAATATTTTTCTTGTGTTCCTCAGCTCAGAAACTCAGATCTTTCTTTGCTCTGTCGTTCTTCATGTGTTCCTCAGGTTTTATTCAGAACTGATGTTCCTAAGGGTGGTCATCAGGGGTTCCTCAGCTCAGACATTTTGATAGAAGTTTCTTTGCTCCGATGTTCCTCACATGTTCCTCTCATAGCGTAGAGGCAGCTTAGATGTTCCTCAGCTAAAAAAAAAAAAAACGAGTTAATTCTGGTAAAAGCTCCAACCACTTCCTACATTCTCTCCTTTTTTATTTTTCTCAACAGAGTTCTTCTTTGAACACATTTTATTCTCCAACTTTTTTGTCTAAAGCAACAAAAAGTATTTTTGACTTTAAAAGAAGCTGAAATTACCCAGAACTTAGTTTCTCTGTTGAGGTTTCAGTCTCTCTCAGTTCCCCTAGTTGATCACTCATTTATAGTTTTTTATTATTATTAAAGTTTGATCATAAAGTGAACTTTTCTATCAAACAAAGTCTTGCTGCCTGCCTTCCTATCTGACAGAGTTTCCTCACTTCCAGCAATCTGTCAGAGCGCACAGGTCTTCTCTGCTCACCGAGGCAGACTTTAGTTCCACCTAGGAATTGTGTCGTAATATAAAGTTGGAAGGGTCAGTACCTCTGGTCCAGTTTGTTCAACCAGCACCAGTGAATATGTAAAAAGATCTGGATATGATGGAGGTTTAGGTTGAGATAGTGCAGTTCTCAAACATTTTTGGTCAACAAACAGCTCAAATATTAGGATGTGAATTAATTAACTGAATAGAGATTAACTTTCATTCAATCTTTATTTATGCAGGTTAGTCTCAATGAGTCTCGAGGACTCATTTACAAGAGAGACCTGATTTAAACAAAGAACACAGATGAGGTGTAGACAACAATAAATAGGCAATCATTTAAAAACATATAAAATAAAAAGTAAATTAAAGAAATAAAATGAAAATGAAACTAAAACAGCTACATTATAAAGAAAAATACTTTATAAATATAAAATACATATAAATGTAAAATACTAAAATCAGGAACATGTCTGCGTTGGTTTTCAATAAACTTAACAGTTGTTTAAAATCGCTTAGAGAGGTCAAAATCAACAACGTCAGATCTTTTTGTAAGATATTCCAGGAAACAGGAGCAGAGTAGAAGGCCCTTTTGCCTAGTTCAGTCCTCACTGAGGGAACGCTGCAGGTAATAATGTCCTGAGAGCGCACGCTGTAGCTTCACTCACACAGAGACATGTAGGAGGAGATGTATGAAGGCAGCAGACCAAGAAGTGATTTAAAGATGAAAATTTACCAGTGAGAGAGTCTGTGTGAAGTTAGTGATGACCAGTTAACCAGTGACTATAGGGGGCAGTGATCGGTATGGTAGTTACAGCCAGTTGTTTTGCTTTGTTTTGTTTTTTTGAAAGTCCAGAGGACCAGATTTAACTTTTTTAGATTTTTCTACCTGGATTATTGAGCATGCATCAGGATAGTTACAGCCAGTTATGAATCTTAATGCACCGTGATAGACAGCATCCAACATCTGCATAGTGCTTGTAGGAGAGTTCATGTAAATAATTCAGTTCAATTTATTTATATAGCGCCAATTCACAACAAAGTTGTCTCAGGGAACTGAAAGGAACATTCATATACATAGAAAAGCCAATTAGTAAAGTTCTCTATCTAAGGAAGCCAGCAGACGCGTTGAATTTTCACTTCGTTACAGTCTCCCATCCTAAGCAAGCATAATGGCAACAGTGGAAAGGAAAAACTTTCTTTTAAAAGGAAGAAACCTCCAGCAGAACCAGGCTCAGGACAAGTGGCCATCTGCTTTGACCGACTGGGTTTGAGAGGACAGGAAGGAGAAACAAACGAACACAGAATGGCAGGTCCAGGTATAGGTCCGGGTGTACCTGAAAGACAAAAAACACACACCAAGGAACGAAAAAATAGTTACAAATACAAAACAGGTTGAACAGAGTAAGTAAAGACAGTAGTAGTGAAGAAATGTGGTCAGTTTGTCCTCCAGCAGTCTAAGCCTATAGCAGCATAACTAAGGGGATAGCTCAGGAAACCCAAGCCGACCCTAACTATAGGATTTATCAAAAAGGAGAGTCAAGTCTAATTTTTAAAGTAGACATTGTGTGAGCCTCAAGGACAGAAACTGGAAGTTGATGTAAATATACCAAAATAATATTGTAGGGAAGTGATTGATGTACTGTAAATGGTAAATGGACTGTACTTATATAGCGCCTTTCTATCTTATCAAGATACTCAAAGCGCTTTACAATCTGTGCCTCATTTACCCATTCATACA